CTCAGCAATACATCAGCAACAACATTTGCAATCGTCGTAGCAGAATCAGTAGCACAAATAATTCACAAGAGGTGAGCCAGCAGCAGTAGCAGCAGCAGCAGCAGCAGCAGCAGCAGCAGCAGCAAAAGTAGCACTAACAGGAGCAGTAGCAGGAACAGTAGTAGCAGCAGCAGCAGCAGCAGTAGCTGTAGCAGTAGCAGTCATCACTAGTACCAAGAGCAGTAACTGTAACTGCAGTAGAAGTACGACTAGTAGCAGCAGCAAGCCACAGTGACACTTCACAGTCTATCAGAGTAGGCCGACTGCCCCAACTCCCTGCGCATCTGTGCACTCTCCTTGTTCTCGCGGCGTCGGCCGCGCGACTCTGCCGGCTCAGGGTAGACCTCAGCGCGCACGTGTAGCGAGTGGATCTGCGAGGAGATCTGCTGCAGCTCGTTCATGTAGCACGCCGTCGACGCGTTGTCCATCTGCCGCGCGCTGTCGGGGCGCCCTCTAGTTTCGGACCAGCGAAGGGCGGCGCGCGGATCGTGCGGATTGTCTCGTCGATGCGAGACCGGTTCCCTAGCTGGTAGTTTGCCGGTGTATCGGTACGACGACCGTGCGCGCTCTGCCTGGCTGGTGCGCTCTCCCTGCAAGGCTACTCGCCTGCCGACGAGCACGCACACGTGGTTAATCTCTAAGCACTCCACTCCGTACAGATATATTATACATAGGTTATGTATTATTACACACACACACACATATATATATAAGGAGTAAATAATCTCAAAGGAGTTTGACACATATTTTCCCCGCGTTTTTTACCGATTCTCCACTTAAAATTTTGGCATTTTAAAACGAGCTAATTTCGTACATTTATTATTCGTCAAAAATGGATGCTTTATTTTATGAAGAATGCAGAATGTCTGCTAAATTTGAAAAACCAACTGCAGTAAACACTGAATTACATTTAATGTTGACTTTACTCCATAGATTAGATCATCAACTTGGCTTCTAAACTAAGCTTTCAAACTATAGCCTCTGCTTAGAAACATCAAAAACGGGTAACTGACGTACTTCTACACTACCCTGACATAAGTCTAGTATCTGATATAATCTACATTATAATCTATAATCGTTAAGTATTGACGAAGAGTGATGTAACTCATAAAGACGTTTATTACTGGAGCTGATACATGTTCTGCCTAGCAGCCATACGAACCGGCCAACAAGAGCGCGCGGTATCAATCCGCTCTGACCCAACAACAAGGTTCTACAAAACAACACGTGCATGCGCACAGTAGGTAGTCCCTACTATTACACACGGCACACACAAGGGGAAATATCTTTTGATTCCCAGTGTAAGCCTGTAAACAGTATGTTGGTTAATTTTGTTAGGGTTAGGGTTAGGGTTAGGAATCTATTGTATACACACACATATTCACCATGCAGTTCCCACAGCCACGTCTAAGAAGAAAGAGAGACGTCTAAAAAGATCATGTCATGCAAAGTTAATGTAATTACTTTAAGAGGTCAGGTTAGTTGAAAAATAGAACAATAGCCAGATCAGAACGGAAATATATACATGCAGACTGCGGACGTTAGGGCTTTGTGTTAAGGTGACCTTAGGCCTAGACTAATGTGGTACAAAAGATTAACATGCCTACATGCAAGCTGCCTATAACCAGAAGCTTGTGCCAAAGTTGAGTTAGAGTTTACACACGTAATCATGCCAATTGTATGAGTGCTGTCAGTCGATATAATTACCTAACAGCTCCAACTGTTCGATTCGCTCATACCAAGGATGGATTTAATCTTGCTTTATAAAATGTTAAAGGAGGAATCAAGATAAGCTTCAACTCAACATCTACGAAATGGAGTTGCTGCCGAGTGATAAAAAATTTTGAAAACAGTAATGACATACGTGTGGGTGTCTCAAATATCCAATGCTATATAGAGCTAACGATGTGCATAAACTAAACTGCTAGCAACAAAGTTCCCAGCAAAGGGCCCACTCTCCAGAGCATGTCACATAGATGATAAAAATGGATCAGCACATTTAAAAATCAATGATTGCAACTTAGAATACTAGCTCTGGAGCTTCCTGAATATTAGTCATTGGTGCAGTGATGACAAATCGTTCCATAGCAGCAGTGAATTAGTAGTCAGATGCTCCTACTCACAAGCAGGACAGATGATCCATGCACGACCACTAGTGCAGCAACGACAACTCATGGATCCCCAGCAGTGACAGCACTGACACAAGATACTAGCATCGCAATATTTGCTCCCACAGCTCGTGAGAGATAATACTGGTCCATGACGTGTGCAGATGCACCAGGGGAAGGCTGTGTTAGCTGTTAGTGCGTGCAACCAACCTAGAGGCATGCGGTGCGCTAGTGAGATACCCACTCGAGTCGCTGCCACTGTGGATGCCAATACGCACGAGAAAGTTCTCAAAGTCCGGAGAGTCTTTCTCCGGAATAAACGGGCGCATCTCTGCAGAGACGAAAAACCAATTAAATTGTGCAAACTACGGCAGGACGAAGCGCAAGTCTAAGAGCTAGTCCGATTTTTCACACCCATCGCGTAGAACTCTATCGCTCACGTGTCAAATCGCGAATCGTCGAATTCGTAAAGCAAGCTCGAAAAATTAAACGGCTTTACACATCGTTTTACACACTTTTATAATAGCAAAGGGTTGAAATTTAACTCTTGAAATTTCTCTCACAGAAATTTCACTTCTACTCTAAACACTATCAAGAGTAGAGTGTGCCGTGTAACAACAGAAAAATTAGATCGTACCGGCGAGTAGGTATTTCCTCTCTGGTCCGTAGAGTTCGAACAGCTTCTGGCAGAATTCAGTGAAAGGAAGGTCTGTGTGCCAACGCCGCAGTAGGATTGCAAACTGGCGCAATTCGGGGCCATTCAGCCGTGCATGCAGCTGTGGACGATGCCAAAGGAAGAAAACGATTAATTTAATTCATCTGTGATTAACAATGAATGGCAGTTAGCACGCTTCATCGAAGACAAACACGCATGCCACAACATGTAAGCAATGGTAACACATTAAGTACAATTGGTAAAAAAAATTTAATTCAACAAATTAGATGAACACCTTCTCATATCCTAAGTGGCGCCACCTACTTCAGTACCTTTCTGAGTTTCGTTTGCTCCACATGTACCTTTTCACTGCCTAACACAGTCCACCTAATCGACAGTTTAGACAGCACCTGTCAGACCACTACGCACAGCTGCACCTACCTGCTTCATGACAGCTTCACCTACCTGCCTTCATGACAGCTGCAGCCTACCTGCTTATGACAGCTCCACCTAATCCTGCCTTCATGAGCAGCTTGCACTACCTGCTTCATGACAGCTGGCGCAGCCTAACCTGCTTCAGTGGCGAGCTGCAGGCCTACCTGCTTCATGACCGAGCTGCCCCTACCTGGCTGTCATGACAGCTGCACCTACTGCTTCATGGACAGCTCCACCGTACCTGCTCATGAGCAGCTGCACCTACCGCTGCTTCATGACAGCTCGTACTTACCTGCTTCATGACCAGCCTGCACCTACCTGCTTCATGGCAGTGCACCTACCTGTTTTCATTGCAGCTGGCACCTGACGCTGCTCATGATCAGCTGCCACCTACCTGTTTCATGAACAGCCTGCACCTACCTGCTGCATGACACTGCACCTAGCCCTGGCTTCATGACAGCTGCACCTACGGCGTGCTATCATCGACAGCTTCACCTAACTGCTTCATGACAGCTGCACCTACTGCTTCATGGCCAGCTGCACCTACCTGCTTCATGACAGCTGCACCTACCTGCTTCATGACAGCTGCACCTACCCTGCTTCAGACAGCTGCAGCTCTACCTGCTTTCATGAAGCTGCACCTTAACGCTGCCTTCATGACAGCTGCACCTGATCTGCTTCATGAAGCTCCCACCTACCTGCTTCATGGCAGCTCCACCTACCTGCTTCATGACAGCTGCACCTACCTGCTTCATGACAGCTGCACCTACCTGCTTCATGACAGCTCCACCTACCTGCTTCATGACAGCTGCACCTACCTGCTTCATGACAGCTCCACCTACCTGCTTCATGGCAGCTCCACCTACCTGCTTCATGGCAGCTCCACCTACCTGCTTCATGACAGCTCCACCTACCTGCTTCATGACAGCTGCACCTACCTGCTTCATGTAGTCGTGTATGACCTCGGCACCGCTGAGCTCGCTCTCGCTACGCGCGTTGCTCGTGCGGCGCGGCCGTGCACCGCCTGCAGACGTCGGGCTGCCCCGAGAGTGCATCGTCAGGTCCTGCTGCGAGCCGGTGATGAACGACAGACCCTCCCTCTTCGCTCCCGTCGACACAGAGTCCTCTACGGAACAGGCAGCAGCAGCAGCAGCAGGAGAGGAGGAGGAGGAGCAGTCATGGTGAGATGTGTGCGCGCGCTTAGCTCGAATAACATTTAATATTTAATCGTTAAGATACGAGCTTAACTCTAGTTGATCGGCGTTGCGATAAGGGAATTCTAAAAATGCTGCTCAGTGGCAAAGCGCCACAAAGTCGACAGTTAGGCGAGTGCGCGTGAGAAACGTGTATGTACACTGGTCTAGCTTTGCCGAGCTAGCAGCAGTAACCAAGAGGGCGTTGTGATCTCGCTAAAAAAATAAGTCGGATTTATATATTTCAGATGTCGTAATGCATCTCTACCGTATCAACCCACCACTGTGTGCGATTGATGCGTCATCCCGCCCCTCGAATTTGAGCTTTTCATCGAAGAATCGCCGGGCAGCAGACGTGTACACCAGTTCGAAGCACTGTCGTATGAGTGCACATAGCTCTTCTGCTGCCATCTATAGTAGAGAGGTGATATATGTCGATTAGGCTTTCTGTTCGGCAAAAGTACAGTTGAATAAGAATAAAGCTTATCGTAGTTACACAGCCATTCAACATTGTTTTTAGATGCTATTTGCGCATCACCAGGATATTCCACACATTTTCTTACACACACATATAGTTTACTAAATTAATCACAAACTATTCAAATTTCAGAATTAAATCTGCTACAATAAGGTGCCCCATATATAAAAACACGCAAGGTTAATAAGATCACGATGGAACGTTTAAAAGCCGAGTTCGAATTCACCGCAGAAAAAAATACAGAAATGGCTGCCGTGGCGAGATTTGCACGTTTACCATAGCTAAAATCACAGAGCATGCTCAACAGACTGCAGACTTAATTTAAAGATGCACATGCAACAACTATCGGGATACCTTGGACTCTAGATAGAGCACTGCTAGTGTACACGTCTCCTTGTTATTGTCAGGGTCACCGATCTTCATCACAAGAAGATTATCGTTGTCTTCGCGTATGTAGCACGCTGCTGCCACCTCGTGGATGGCCACAAGAAGAACCAACTTCTGTAAAAGCACCAAGTACAGTAAGAACATCTGTTAAAGCACAAGTGCAGCGAGAACTTCTGTCAAGGCTGCTTTCCATAGAAATCCACAATGTCTCTACTCAAAATACTGTTCTATGCATGCGTTTTGTGCATGTTTTATTAAGATGGGTCCAAAACAAAAGCTACCGTCAGTGTTCGAAATAAGGGAAACATTTTGCTTGTCCGAGGGACAATTAAGCTACAAGATATTTTTGCTTGTCCTGCAAAATTTTTGCTTGTCCTGATTAATAACATAGAAATATAGTAAATGTGTAATACATTTAATCAAATTAAATTTTAGACCCAATATCTTACTTTGTAATTTTAATGCAGTTCACTATAACAGTTCAAATTAGGCACCAAACTTGAAAGAACATAAAGAAGCACAATTATTTATTTTAAGTTATTACTTGTCTTGACAAATTTGAAGCTTCAAAGTTTTATAATAACAATACATGGTCAGTCCTGAGTCTGACTTTCTGACCAGCGACGGTAGAAAATGATGAAAAATTGCTCTAAAAAGTTGCTCTAAAAAGCTGCTTGTCCGTTGGACAAGTTACTGGACAGGTCTACTTGTCCTCCGTGGAAATGGACAAGTGAGGACAAACGGATAGCCAGCCCTTATTTCGAACACTGACCGTGTTCGAACCTTCCCTACCGATGTTAACATTAAAGATGTGTTCCACGCTTGTAGTTGTGCGGAGTAATATAGACACAACGGTTCAGTGTGACTCGACTTATGTGTATAAATCTGTGCATCATTACAGGATGCAATATAGTCCGTAATTAAGCCGAAAAACCATATGATTTTGTTAATCTACTAATGATAGTACGTTTGAGTGAGAGCTAGGTTATTACTTTTCAATGCTATAGTCTAAAACTAGACTAGGTGCTGTTGCTCTGCTGCCTGCACATGCTCAAGTAAATTTTGAACAAACAGTCATGGTGGTATGTTTACATTTTGTGGACTACACTCAAAAGGCTTGTTTGTGCTAATGGTGGCGTTTTTGGAAGATTTTAATGTAGAAATCACTAACTGCATGGTAGTGTCTACAAACATTTATGACAGCTTTTCCTCGGGGGGAAAACAAAAAAAACTTCCTTAAAGGGACAAGTAGATTTTGGCATTCCCTTTCAGAGACAATTACATATGTGACCCGCTCCAGCAAAACCAGGATTAATTAGGAAATTCTACAAATTGAGTTATGTGCATATCTGAATAGATAGCATGCCTTAATTACCTTTAACATTTAAAAAAAATTAAAAATGACCATATTATAATCTAGAGATATCTGAACCTATATATCCAGATTAAATATGCACTTATGCAAAAATGGAACTTATTTTTGTAAAAATCTCATTTTTGTCCAGGTAGGCCATTTTCAGCATTGACATGTGTGCGTGCTCATTACTCAAAACAATGACTTGCGACTTAGTCCGTATTATGCTGGAGCGGATCACATATAACTAAACACGTACACTATAAACAATAGGGGAACTGTCTATGATTCCGAAGGACCCATTTTGGGTTTCTCGCGAGTGACCCTCATATATATAATAGCTTATACTTCACTCGGGGCACGTGACCTGCAAGGAGGGACGCGTGACCCGCAGGAAGGGAGGAGGTGTGGCATGTGTAGATTTAGTGTTTATATTGCCTCATAGAGGGCGCAATCAACAGCATGTGGATGAGGATGTTACCTCGGTGCGTTCACGTGGGTCTCGCCTCAAGATGACGATGCTGTACGATGAGAGACTCAGCACCGCATCATGCTCCTGCGTCACCTCGTACGGCAAGAACGTCTGCATCTGCAACGATCGCACGAGATTCCATGTTACGTCGCAGCGACGCTCGGCATGCAACGATCGGACGACATGCAATGTTATGTCACAGCGACGCTCAGCATGCAACGATCGCACGAGATTCCATGTTACGTCGCAGCGACGCTCGGCATGCAACGATCGGACGACATGCAATGTTACGTCACAGCGACGCTCAGCATGCAACGATCGCACGAGATGCAATGTTACGTCACAGCGACGCTCAGCATGCAACGATCGCACGAGATGCAATGTTACGTCACAGCGACGCTCAGCATGCAACGATCGCACGAGATGCAATGTTACGTCACAGCGACGCTCNTCTCAGTCGCCTATAAATATATATATATATATTATTATATATATAATATATATATTATATATATATATATATTATCAGAAGAAAATGATAGATAATAGCGAAAGATGGGACTTCAATAAACAAAGGGAAATTCGTATTACTACCCTTAAGAATACCTACGCTTTTACTACGCCGTAACTCAACCAACTTGAGCTCACAATCGTACACAGTACATCGGCTAGCATCGTGCGAAATTGGGTTTCCTCGTAGACAACCGCAATCCGGAGATACAGACTTTAAAACGTACGACACGATTCTCCATTGCTGTTGCAGCAATTGCGCTCATTTAACCGCCTAACTTGAAACAATAGCGGCCAAGCTACTAACGGACTCCTTGCTACTCTTGTGCCCTCGCGATGCCGGTGTGGCTCGCTGGGAGATTGGAGCTGGAGCTGCTACTGATTACTGTGCGCGCGTGCGAGCGTGAGCAGCGGCATACCAGCCTGTAAGATAGGTCAAAGATTAGCTCGCGAGTGTTTTGCGTCGGACTGATCAATCTCCAGCGAGCCACACCGCATCGCCGAGAGGGCTGCCAAGCATCGCTTAGAAGCTGCCTATTGCCTTAAGTTAGGGCGGTCAGTTGCTCCGGATTGCGGGGGTGTAGAGAAACGAATTTCGCATGATGCTAGGTGAATGTACTGTGTACAATTATGAGCCTTCAAGTTGGTTGAGTTACACGTAGAATCGTAAGTATTCTAAAACAAGGAAAGCCGCAGAGCGTACATGGGCTCATCTGAAGGTCTGTTCTACGATTATAAAGTAAAATTTCAGTCGTTGCGTCAGCTACCACATTTGTTTAGCGCAGATAGTGCAGACACGCAGTTTGCGTTACACATCGTTAGGAACACGCCCACTATCGCAGATGGAGGGTAGGCGGGAGGTGGGCGAAGGGTGGGGGAGGGGTGGGGGACGGGGAAGGAGAGGGTGGTGGGAGGAGGCTTCAATAGCCAAAAGCAGCTTTCACTCCTTTGGTTAACAGTCAAACAAATCCATGTTTTACCCTCCTCTTGAGGGTCAAAAGTTATCAGACACTTACTCTTCGCACATGTCAGTGCGCAAAGCAACATTTTCATGGTCTTTTCAAAAAGCCCAATAAAAATGGTAGCGTCACCGCCTGAAAACAAAAAAATTTTCAATCGCTCGGTCACACCATGTCCTCAGAAAATGTCTAAAATCGGCCCTCGTGCCCCATTTGGACCTTTGGACCTGCCTGACCTCCAATTTCGCACAGTGGATGGCTTTTCCTTACCATGATGCTATACCACCGACTATCACGAGGCTTAGCGTCGAGCCGTCTTAGATTGTGCCGCCAATTTGGCATTCCTCCCTATACCTTAAGTTAAGGAGGCGGGCGGGAGGTGACCCACTTCGGCTATCCCTCACGTACGTACGGGGGAGCTGGCGGGGGCGGGGGGGAGGGGGAAATACTTTTTCTCGGTACCGTTCCCCTTCCTTTTACACCTCTTGACCTGACCTGTGACCCCCAGCTTCGACATCCCAACTCGTTTCGGATTACCCCCCCCACGTCTCGAACATCGCTGCCGTACGGCGAGCCGTTTAGATTTGCTGCCCAACTGTTACGGACGCACGGACGCACGGCACGCACGGACGATCATGCGATTCTACAAGCCTGCATCTGACTACGTTCAGATGATGCTAAAAAATTAAGGCTAAGTAAATGACGAATTTCCCTTGTTTATTGAAGTCACACTCCTATCCCTATATCTACTGCTGATATAATATAGTAATATATATATATATATATATATATATATATACATCCATCTGTTACATTACTAGTTGGTACTTGATCTTGATATGTTGGAGCTAGTCTAGATGACATGAACCCTTGTGTATTGTATTGTAGACATGAAGTATTGTGGGACAACATTTCTTCTAGACTAGGACCGATATGTTTGTTGAGAAGCCTCAATATGCGAATTACGACGGGTACCTTAACTTCCTTCTCGATGCAACCGTCTGTTAGCGCCTCCGAATTGATCTTGTACTCAGGAGGCTTCAGATTCAGGGTTCGAATATGCTTGCGCTCCATACCAGCTTGTATCTGCTGCATATTGGCTGTGCTGTAGGGAGGAATCACAGAAACTGTTTACATCTAGACTCATATACGGGTACATGTATTATTGTAGAAATTTTGTGAGAGCTCCAGGTTTCCAGTCAGAAATAGGATTCACGGAAGGGGTTTAGTGACTGCCTACGGCTTAGCGGATGGGGGTTAGTTGGGGGACGGGAAATACATCCCACAAAGTCAAAGGTTGTTTATAGTGAAAATATATGGATACAGTTCCACATATCCTGACTACATACATTTTTTGAAGTTTGAAGTACTTCTACTGCAACTGAGCCCAAAGTTTTGCCAAGCAGTGATACACAGCCTACAGTAAACAGGCTACAGAAAAAACGGGGTTTGCAGGGGTGTATCTCACTCACTGCTGCTAGACTATATTCTCTGGATACACCCTACTACTAGTCTAACATAATACTAATAGTCATAATTGTTTAGAAATCTATTGATAGCATTTCCAGCTTTCACTGTTGTCACGTGTGGAGCACAAGAAGCCATGTTGTTGTTGTTGTTGTTCCTACGCCCTTCTACATGGCAGTTGGTCTTTGGGGCATATATATGGTATCACTTTGTGCTTCTTCTCTAAGTATTACGACACTTTGTGTTATGATTTCAATATATGTATTACATGCGTCTAAACAGAGGAATTGCTCCGACTTGTGATTGGAGAATAAAACATATAATTCGTGACGTTTCGTTTCATGTTGCATTTTAGCCTTACGACTCGAGTATGAGCCGATACGCCGTGCATATTTGCTAATTAATTAAACTAATCGCGCTTCAATAAACTCAAGACTCACAGGGATCATATTCATAGCTAAGACATGTTGTCTTAAGGGTCTCCAACCCTGTTGAACTCCAAATGCGGAATGAAATTGGATGGATGGGGGCGGCGAAATTACCTTGGCTGCCGCGTAGGCAGCGCCCGCGTGCCACTTGGCATGCCAGTGCTGAGGGGGGTCTGCGGGGCATGCCCCCGCAGAAAATTGTGTGAAATATATTAAGCCATTTCCTGGCAATCTAAGCGGCATACTGTGGGCCATATTCTGCTATAGTCTGATGACAACTATCTCAACCCTAGACTCAACGCCTACAAGTTAGGATCAAAACACTTTCATCGATTTTTTCAGAGACGCGTACACAGAGGTGACTATAGTAATAATACATGTATTAAAACAGCAGGTAAGAATTGCAATTTCTCAACGTCACTTCATTGCAAACAGTGTTTTTGTATGTTTCTGCAACGCATATTTATTTGGCTATTTGTGAGTCTGGAAACATTTTTCATTGAAGATTCATTTGCATGGTCTGCGCCCTCAAAAGGCACATTGTGTTCAAGTTTAAATAATCCGCTAAATCTCACCTTCTGCAGTCCAGACAGACATTCTCTATGCTGCCCTGCCAAGAAGACATTGATATATTTGGTGTAGAATTCCACTGCACCCGCATAGCACTTAATGCTGATTGAAGAGACTATATGCCTCCTGCAGTCCACTCACTTCACTCCGTGCCCCACTTGAACGTCTGTCTTGCGATACCATGGCAATAGCCATGATTAACACTGGTTTTGACTTCACAAGTACAGGCAATATCTGTGTATATATCGTTCCTGAATGTTCTGTAGAAAGTCGGGTTTTTGAATATGCAAGGGCCAATTGCAAGCGCCATTCTCTGCCGCTCTTACGTGTTAATCTCATTAGGCAGACAAACTACGTGACACCTTGCAGACCAGCGCCTGTGTGGGACTATAGGCTCGTTCCATTGTACCGCTAGACATGCCGATCCATAATGGCATAGACAGAAAACACATTATAACACTGAGCGATGGTGAGGGGGTGGGGCGTGCAAAACTTAAGGTAATGGCAGAGCTGTCATTTCCAAGAAACGACTTCGCGCAGTGACGGCTATTAATAACTTGCTTGCATGCAATACTGCACAACGCGCGTGGGGCCAGTGCCAGGCACCGCGCGCACGGTCGCTGAAAAAAAAACAATGTGTCCAAGCCCGAACCAGATCGCGAAAGCAATCAGTGCAAAATTTATTACAGTGCAGACTGAAATGTGGAATAATAAACCTTGGCCGCTGCGGAATGCGCGAAATTAAGCTAGAAATCGTAATGATATATGCGCGCAGAATGTCGGAAATGGTTACCGCAGGACCCTGTGCTATAATTTGCTAGAATTTATAGTAATGGTAACTTAAATCTTATCGCCGCATAATGATGGTTAGTACACTTTCACTACCGGTCATCTAGCGTATGCACGGCGGGTATGCAAAATGAAAAAGCGAGAACGTTCACGAATATCATTTTTAATCGCTCCAAGTTAGCAGAGTGGATTGAGTAGCTCTAGGACTATTAGGCCGCGTACATTGGCCGCAGTCACCTGCCCTCAAACGCGCAGGTATGGCGTTGCCGCAGCCGCCTGCCGGCAACTGGACGTGGGTCTACTCAAGAAACGGTGCTTTGCTAGGGTTAGGAGACTAATATGACTATTATGGTTATGAAGTATATTGTGTTATACTGACGAATATGTGTA